TGGACATTCGCCATAATTTTTGGGGGACAAGCGAAATTTGATAAAAACCAAGAAACATGGCGACGTGTTGCAGATTGTACGTTACAATGACTTTTCGGTGTCACTATCACTTAAATATTAGAATGTCATTTACTATCAGATATCCAGTACCACGTGACCTAGCCTAGACCGTTTTGGTCTGACACGAAACTCGGGTATCGATTCAATTCTTAGTTTTGCATAACCTGCACCGTTTCGCAAATTCAGGAATGTCGAACAAGATAACAAGTTATTTCGTAAAGTTTTTCTTGAATTTGAACAAGGAAATATTATTTTGACAAGAAGAATTGCTATTATTGCCGGTTCATTTAATCATCATTTGAACTCAAAATAACATCCAGGATTCACGGAATAACGACTTCGCAGAGTTTTTATTTATCATGTGATACGAAAATAACACCGACACAACAGAAAAGTAACATAAGATGGACAACTATCGTCTTCATAAATATCCGCATTCAGGCGTCAGTAATTATAATACTGTTATCTTACAAATGGGACGTTTAATTTACACACAGGGATGGGTGATATCAAATCCCGCACAAAAGATAAAAATCAGATTAAAATCCTGAATTATAGCAAGCAATAAAAAAAACTTGGGCGTCAGCAGTTGCGCAAGAATTGGTACTTGTGACGGGCGGAAACGTAAATTATTAACTTTAGAATGTCTAGCGTTCTGAAAGCGTCTTGTAAATATATTAAAAATTTCCGATATTCGACAATTCGTTAAAAATATGCGACTGGATAGAAACATTTGATTTTGCCCACCCCAGGGATTTGTAACTACGCCAGTAATATGGTGTGGTCGACGCGTGGTGTTCAAACACAGCTGCAGTGTAACTTAATAAAACCTCCATTAAATTCGGTAAATTACACTACTTCATGAAAGCGTGGCGGAGTTGACGGTTACTTCATATCTTCTTCTCGAACGCAAAAGATATAGTTATCCTTTTCAAGTCGTTTCTGCGGTCTGAAAATCTTAGGATAAGCGTTTCGACGTAATTCAGAAAAAGCGGTATGATATCATAGTAAGGTTAAATGATCTTTGCCACTAAATTATGAACATGAAAAGATTCGCCCAGCAGTACCAATTTATTTATAACGGCTTTAAACCTATTTAGTGTTTTAGCAACTAATTGTTTAGAATAAGTCGAACCCCCTTTTTTTGAACATTTGTGTGAGAGGTGTGTTTGCGAGCACGATGAGCCACACCGCCGCGCATAAAATATAATAATCAAGCACCTGGCGGCCACACATTTTTATGTTTGCAAATTGCTTTTATAATAATGTAATATGAATGCTTTTGTAATAATGCTTTTATTTGGTCGAAGAAACCGCAGGTTAAATTGAACACAATTAAACTAATAGCACTACATTTATTCGGATTGATTACGGTACATTGCGCAAAAAATGATTATTATCAGTTGAAAAAGTCGGCTCTTTGAAGGAGGGGAGTAATTGCTGCGGTTGTTTCAGAAGCTGTTCTGCGGAGATTTCTAGACCGTAAATATGTATTTTCGACATACTAATATGCTTTGTATGTATTTTCAGCGTACTAAATTAAATCGCTTTCTCTGGGATTTCATAGCGGATCTCGAGAACGGTGATGACAAATTGGCAAGATCGCAAAAAATACCTATCAAATCTAAATACTATCCGAAAGTTTTTCTCAGATTTTTATCTACGCTGATTGTCGTGGTATTTATCAATGCTGTTATTTTGCGGTAAGTCGGCATCGCCGCGAGTTACGTTGAACACAGTTGAATTAATATAGAAAGACATTGTATATTCTCGTAGATGTCATGGATTGACTATTTCACATGGCAGAAAAATTATTATACGCTAAAAAAGTCGGCTCTCCTAAGTCCTAACCTTGGAAAGAAAAAAAAAACGTAATCGCGGTGTAGCAGTAGCGGTATAATGAAAAATTCCAAATTTCCAAACTATTCTTAAAATAAGCACCGAAAAGTTTACAACGGTAAAGTATGAGAAGAATTTCCCGGGGGTCAAAAGTCGGGGGAAGTTCCATTATACCTATTTTTTCGAAATAAAAGTACTTACCAAAAAAGTATGAAAACATGGGTTGTACCATATATTTGCGGGTGTACACTTTGCACAGCCAATCATATAGGTGGTGCATTTTCACAGATAATGATGACATATGTAAGTAGACAGTCAATCTGTTGTATCATATATACAAAAACTTCTACTTCATTTACAAAAGCATAGAGAGCTTCATCGAATTCGTTATTGCTTGTACAAGCATATCTCCTGAGTCACTACCGCCATCTTGTGGTTTAAATACACTTTAGCCATGGTTATAGAATCTGAGTTTTGCATGTTTTCTCTGAAGTGGTAATCTTATTTTCAAATTGCCAAGGTTCGAAATAATGAATTCCGAAAGTTCGAAATTCCATACCTTTAATGGTAATAATACTTTTAACAGAGATTTGCTTTTCTTAGAGTTAGTAGCTTCTAAGGGTGAGAAACCAATGTAAAAAAGTTTTTGACCAAGATGGAGTCAAATTTTTTTTCAACTCGGAATCAGGGGTCAATTGTCAAATTTCCCTGATACACCACAGCTCTGGCTGTTGTGATGCTTGGCACTGGATTTGTCTAAGTCAAGGGTTCTAAACTATAGTATAATAAATTATAAAATATTCAATTGGAGACAACAATGCAAAATGCAGCACACATGAATTATAAAATGTCATGTACTCAAAGAACCGTCTCTAGCACATTGTTACATCACATACAAATTATATAGATAATGCAGGCACGTGTCTGGGTTAATGATTTTGGTTGCCATGCACCACGCTTGAGTTACTTGAACATTATTCCTGTTGACGATAGGGCTGTCAGTCAAATGTACATCGTTTACAACATGTGGACATTAGCCCATTAGATTGCATGATGATATTGTAGTCTGTGCTTAAAATTTATTGTTTAATCATGCCTTAGGCTTAAATAAACATTAGTATTTGTAAGGTATGCAAAGTTGTAAAAGGTATACTACAGTAAAAAAGTTGAAGAACACTGAGCTATAGTGCAAGGAAGTCATACCAAAAAAACTTTGTTGAATTCGAGACATTGCTTCATACTAACTCGTCTAATTCTCAACACTCACTGATTGATAAATGAATCTGAAAATCATATATTTGACATTTCATTCTCACACACATATTATCATTTTGATTGTTGTTGATATCAAACCTTATCTGGATGACATAGTATAAGTAATTTATGTATAAAATGATATGAGCAACACACCAATATCATGAATCAACAAATGGGATCAACCAGTCCATGTCCTGTATGGGAATAGTTAACCTGTTGTTTCTGATGCACGCCTGGTTGTGAAGAAAACGACAACCAACCAGCGTTAAAGTGAAACACCCTTACGGCAGCTAGGGGTCCTGCAATCCTCTCTCACATAAATATCCCCCACAGACTCATAATCAATTAGTTCAATGCTATCAAGTAGAATAAATTTTTTGAGCTAATTAGCTTGAGACAAAGGTCACACACACTCAACAAAATGTAGAAGTGACTAATTCAAATTTGCAGGTCACAGAATAGCCATGAGCCACTCAAACTACTAGAATTATAGCATAGAAATGTGTTGGTAATAATGAAATAATACACTAATACACTTACCATTTCATTACGAATATTGGTAAGCTGTTATATAAGAGATGTTCCACTACAAATTTTTCCACACACGAAAACAGCACATGGTTATCTAAAAAAAAATATGAATAACTACCCAGCATTAAATGTCTAATTATTACAACAAATGAAAAAAGACAATAAATGTTGCGTTGAGTATTTGTTTGTTCAAAAGGGGTGCGAAAATCCTGATCTCTCAACAACGGGAGTTTTCACTTTATGTAAACATTTTATCTCAATAACAGAATAGCAAACAATGACGTAAACGTAAGCATGTACTAATTTTAGTTTGCCGGATGTATTATGTAAATTTGATTAGGACACCAGAGGGTAAAATCGATTAGGCATGTTTTCTATATAATATAAAACCGCTACACACTATTCTAAAATAGGCCTAATCTAATTCTGTTCAAATAAGATAACTCCCAAGCATGACCAAAGATTCTGAATGGCAGACTTCATGAAATTCTTCATGGGGGAGTTTGATGAGAATATTTGAGTAATGTTTACACTTATATTTGGTACCGTATTTGTCAACGTACTTACGAAACCACACCTCTGGATAAATTATATTTTATGATAGGACATAACCATATGCAAACACAAGTAACTCGCACAAAGGAACCTATTGTACCTAGAGGTAAAATCGATCCCAAAAATTCCAGCCCGACCCAGGCCTGTGGGTATTAAACCCGACTAATTAACTGGATTTGCAGGCCCGAGCCCAAAGCAAACCCAAAATTTCATATTTTATTTAGGAGTTCTTACGAGCAATAATAATGATATTTATTTTATAACAAGTATTCCTTAGTTTAGTATCCACACATAGTTATAGTAAATTTTTCATGAACATATATTTATTTAAAAAAAAAGTCAGCGATAGAGAAGCCCGACCTGAACGTAATGATTGACATTTCACGCCCAACCCGGCCCGAATTTTAGGTCGGGTCTGGCTTCAGATCTTAGCTTTACCTAAAAGACATTCAGTTCCGTATCATAATTATGTAAGGACTGTCAAGGAGTAATTTGTTTCTTGCTCACGTTCTTTTAAAAAAACTTAACACCAATTAAATATTGAATTTTTATAAGTTGGTCAATGTGTATAGAATTTTTTATCATTTATTATTAATACTGATTACAACTTTGAAGTAAATACCTACAAACTAATTAACGTACCAATTCAATCTTCATTTGTAAATCATAAGTCAGGATCCATCTTTGATTGACTTTGATATAACAGTGAAAATAACACATCACTCTAGAACACTTAAGTCCACGTCATTCATTTAATGCTTCGATACAAAGAAAAAGAAGATATATTATACAGGTAGTAATACATTAATGATAATCCAATACAATACGCTTAAGTGAATGGTTTACATTATCAAATGATATCACACATATTATCAATTGACAGTATATCACAGGAATAGTAAAACACAGTTTATTTGTTAGCATATGATGGAACACAAGTGAAGGGAAATCAAATTTACTTGTAAGTTGTAGCAAACATATGTATCTATACTATGTTCAAATTTGTCAAGTTGGCAACTCTACCTAAATCAGGTATATATTCATAAATTATCAAATTGTTGTCATGTATGATTAGTGCACTTTAAGTGAAATAAACATATTAATGCTTGAATGTAAATGAAACATCCATGATTTCAAAGTCAATTAATTTTCTTTGACAATATTTTTTAAACATGACCATAAAATACAAATACTCTCAATATCAGAGTTCAATTTCTTTCAAGTTGAAACTCTCACCCGCCTTTGTTGCCCAACATAAGCAATAATGAGTCAATAACTGTTCAAGAAGTTCTTGTTCATCCATGAACTCAAGACGTTCCATTCTCTGGACATCAGATTGTGGTAAAATAGAATACACAGACCACATAGTAATACAATTTACTTGATCCCAGCCATTTTCTTGAAATCGTTTTCGCTGAGATTCAAGGCTTTCACATACATCAACACCAGGGATGTCACAGTCACGTGATTTCAAGTTTTCAATCATAACATGTCCAAAACGATCGTTCATATTGACCTGTTCGTAATTGACAAACATACAGTTTTCAAAATTGGTTGTCACCCATTTCAAGATAGCATTCGAATTTTTGGATGACATGTACACAAGAACACACTCAGTGAGAAAGAGAGTAGGTATAGTAAAATCAATTTGAGCTAGTTTTAGCTGTTTTTCAACAAGTTCTATGTCACGCAAATCCGCAGGAAGTAAGGAATATTTATTTGAAATAATGCTTGATGTTTCAATCTTTGTATCGTTTTCTGATGTGTTAAAGGCTTGTGTTAATAAAGTTTTCGATTTGATAGTTTGAACTTTACGCATTGTGACATTAGGAAAGTCGAGTTCAATATATCGAATAGGACTTAATTCTTCTCCACAAAGTCTCCAGAACGTAGTGTCCAAGCCGGCACCTAAACTAACAATTTGGCACTTTCTTTCAGTAGCATGAATAAATTTTTTAATCAGTATCCACACTGATTCTACTCTCGCATAATATCCTCGGTTTATCTCTGGAGGTTTACGAGATCCCACACTTTTTACCATATGCGATATATATGGATCATTCCAATATCCTTTCTGAACAGCGTATCTTTTACACGTTGAAGCATCATTACAGGTCGCCTGAGTAGCAAGATCTGAATCGCTGCTCATATTATAATACTACTGCTTAGACTGTTAATGTAAATGAAAATTAGGCCTTGTATCTCCTTTATACACAATGCAATTGATATTTGAAAACAAGGTACAAGTTTGTGTCACATATTATACCAAAACCTGTTTGCTACATCAGGTTGCAGAAACCAAGGAACTAAGGATAATAACATGAAAATCACAACGAATTTCATTTCGAAATCCGAAAAAATACATCCCATGTGAATAAAAAATATTGTTTCTTGACACACAGAATAGGCATATATATTTAACTCCCGTAAACAAGGCATAACTAATATTACTGTATCAAGTCATGAAGTGTAGAATGTAGATTAAACAGTATATACTGGGTCCTAGACAATGGTGTAATTCTGTAATTTGCTGCGCTTGGATAATATTGATACCTGATCGCTTGATCAGATAAAAAAAAAATTTTTATTTCCATTTTGGGTGTTGACATTCGTTATCATTATATGTCCATTCATCTTAAAGTAATCAGTTGGCACTGAGCCAATTGTCTTATTATATTACATTATTTCCTGCATCTACATGAAATATATGGTAGCTCTTCATCGAAGCGAGCAAGTTTTCTGATATCCATGGATACATAATGCTTCTTTTCATTCAGTAATTAAAACAAGGGCTGCGGAGCCGGAACTAATGGAGCTGGAGCCAAGCTTACCATATTACATGGAGCTGAAGCTACCAGAAATTCTAGTGACTCCAGCTCCAAACCATCTAATTATTTATTCCCATTTTTAATTTTCTAATATGTCATTCAAATCGGCAAATATTAAAATCTATTCTTTTTATCTTGTAACTTATTTCCAAATTGAATTTCCAATATCAACTCGAACTTTCAAGTCAAATTTGTTCATTTCAAAGTTTAAAATAAGTTTGAAACTTTAAAATCAATTTGAAACCCTATACATTAGTATATCAAATCTTTTATTCCCGCTTCTGCGAAACTGCGCTTGGGCTAATATTTTATGGCAGCAGAAAAAACCTCAATGCAGCAATGGCTACAGCTGTATAAATTCAGATCAGAATAATATGGTAAAGACGAGAATGGCAAAATGCAATCATAGGTGAGGAATGAAAAATAACACAGTAGAAATACAAATAAGGTCAGAAGGTTTTGTGTATAAGCTTGTTACGGTAGGGTGACAATTGCAAAATTGCATACTGCATGGGATAGGATTAGGATGGAATATATAAACTGTAATTAGTAAGTTTATCTCGACTCCATAATCAGCAATAGACGATAAAATAATTGATAAAAACAAAATAAATAAAACTGATTATAGAATCGGGAAAGCAAACGAAACCTCAAGTAAGGTTTAAAGCGTACAGATTTTAGGTGGGAAGGGGAGAAGTGGAAATTGATAAAAGTAGTAGTACGTGTTCGCTTACCCAAAAGTATTAAAACTAATTAAGGCACGCACGCACACACATACAATCATCGAGACTGAGACATGATCATGGTAAGTCAGGAGTGAAAAATGCCAGTAAATAAAATCAATTACTCAGTAAATAGAGCTAAAAATTGCCTAAATTGTAAAATGACTGCAGCTCTCAATGCAGCAAGGAACCTGAACAAGTAGTTGAAATGAAATGTGAAAAATAACACAGACCGAATAATCAAATGTGCAATCATTGTGTTATGAAAAGTGTACCGGTACCGGTAGTTCTGTATTGTCAGATTGTACGAATAGTACCGTCAGACCGTTGTGTACTGAAAAAGGGAAATTTTACTAATTTACAATTCAACGAACAAAATTTTTAGCAAATGGCCCTTCCTGCTTTGAGACTTACCGGTACCTGACAACGAGAGCTACGACGTAACGTCGACGCACAGTTTTTCACGCACTTACCACGTGATCGGCAAAATGAACGTAAAAAGTTCCCCTCACATCTAACCGGGGAATCCCCAAGTCTGAGAAATATGTTGCGAATACGCCCACGCTCCTGTTGTACATAAATAGGCCTATCTACTGGCATCCTGTGCGTGGAGGGATTCTCAAAGTGAAGTCTTGGTAATATAGAGCATTATTTATTGCACAACGATTTTGGAGTTATACGTTACAGCATTTCAACAGCTACTGAGAGACGGAAAATTACGATATACGGTACTGAGTTAGTTCGTTCGTTTCTAAAAGTTTTTCTGTGCTCTTTTTACTGACGGGGCCTGGGGGAAGGGATAAAGTATTCTCAAGTACACAAACATGAGAATCCTTTTCTGTGTCTGTGCTGCTTCATTTGCTTACCGTATGCTTTTTCTGGTGCATTAATGTCAGAATATTGCATTTTCCCAGCTTAAAAACGCGGCGGTGTGGCTCAACGGGCCAAGCGTTAGGAATACGCTCGCCAGATTTGCCAGTTGTTGCAGTTTGTCAACGTCATTCCTAATGCATACTGAATGTACATCAAAGTGGTATGGAACTGTGATTGGTCGAAGAAGAACAATGAGTTTATTTTTTCTAAATCCATGCCAGAATTTAGGGCTTGTGCTGCTCATCTAAGCATGCTCATACATCATATTGAAATGGTATTACTATTATTAGCTGTGAATGGCCTGTCTGATATAAATCATATTCATATTTTGAGATTTGCGACATAAAAATCATTTAATTGTAATTTTGATTTTTGTAGCCCAGGATTTGAATTTGTTACCCGTTTTTTCCCACCTCAAGCAATTAAGCCATTGGTTTGATTATATATTTCTTTTCTATGCCAAAATTGATTGAGAATACTAGCTAATTGTAAAGTTTCTGCAAATTCGAAACTTTTCGTTTTGTGTTATGTTTTTATATGATATATCATATATAATAAATGTTTGAAATTATATATGATATCAAAGTTGTTCTGTGGTTAAAAAAAGATTGAAAATCACTGATCTTTAATTACCATGTCACACACGAATGTATAAGTGTATGATATTCATCAAAATATGAGCCGTGCGAAATGTGGCAAAACAATAACAAATGTTAATATCCTCGGTCCAGTGGTTGAGAGCGCTGCTGATCTCCACCTACTAATTGAAAAAGTCACATCCTTGAAATATTAACCTGTGAATATTGAATTTAGGGAGTAATCAAGTTCAAGATATTGGCATGATCAATTATGGAAATGGACGAGGTAATGAAAAAATTAAAAAATTTTAAGGTGGCCAGATAGTTATGGAGTCTTTGGGTTGGATTTTAATTAAATTATTTCAATAAACATTGACCATGAAAATAGTTTCAGTACTCAAGATTCACTTGAGTATTGAAACTTGATCTACAATTGATAAGAAGACATTACTAAGTAATAAAAGGGAATCATATTTACCACAAAAAACTAAGTTTCATTAAGATGAGTAGAAACAAGCACAATATTTTTTGTATGGAAATTTGTTTGTACAATACACCTACAATATAAGTGGAGCAGTATTCAATTATTTTAAAAATTGAAATCAATATTTGCCCTATGTAAACACAGTTAATGTTGGTTTCTGGATGCACATAATTCGTGTGTCTGGTAACTATACCACTATATTGATACTGATATGAAATGAATCTCCCTATTAAAAATATTGCTATATCTTACATATTAAATTTGTGTGAAATTTTTCTTCAGAAAGGCAAATTCATTCAAATTTAACTGCAATATTGGTAGTTTAGTGTTGTGGCATGTGGACATATGCAGAAACTATTTATGTAAGCACAATTTATTTAGATTTTCTTGATGGTTTATTTTGTGAGAATAACACAAACGTTCAATGCCGAGAATATTTATTTGGTTTCTGCACTGTTCATTCACTTTCTGTCTGTTTTCCTAGATGCTTTGCCTTTTTTCGTAAAACAATTCACTGCTTTTATAGAGGAATATGCCAATTTCTTGGTTAACACAATTGCTTTGTAAGAATTTTACTTTTTAATTTATTGAGTATGCGCAACAGTATGAAATAATTATTCTGAACTTAATTTTTCTTTCCTCGAAAACAAGTATCTGTAAGAATTACATTTTTGAATCATCTTGTTTGGTGTTGTTGTAGTAATACAATTGCTTTGTAAGCACTTTGCTTTCATTTGTTCAGTATGCGTCGGGACAAGTATGAACTCTTCATGAATTTTTTTTTCTTTCTGAAAACATTATAGTCTTTGTCAAAACATTCCTTGATGATAAAGATAGAAAATATTAGGGTTGCAAGCTATTTTAGTCTTGACAGATTGTCTATAGACTTTGCCAGATTTCACAGAAATCAAGAGTGTCAGAAAGCCGATAGTAATATAGTTTTTATCACCAATATATATTACCTAAATGAGCATCAGTCAGGCTTTGGTTCACTTTTATCTTGTTTCTTGTGCTCAGATTTTGCACAGTACAGTGCATTCAATCATTTCATGATTAGTTGGTCGGAAAATAAAATGGAAAGAAGATGCTTTGTCACTTTTTACTTCAGCCTGCATGGATGTGCAACTTTTTATTCAATAATTATTAAAGCTATCAGAGTTAAATTTATGTCATTCCAATAAGTTTAAACTTCAATTTACCTATTTTCACAGGGTTTTCTTGTTTTTATAGTAGAAACGTATTGAATTATACATCATGAATGATGTTCAAAAGAAAACTATTGAAAAATGGAGAGAGTATCTTAAATTATATCTCAATGCAACACAAGTAATGGCAGAAATTCCAGATTTATTTGATCTCAATTCGGCAGCGCGAACAGATGTTATGGCAAAGCAAGATATGCCACATGAAGCTGTTAGTGTCATGATTAATCATCTGGAAAAAATGCCAGGTGAGGCTTATAACCAATTTCTCAAGGCAATCAAAAATCAGCATGAATGGCTACATGCACTGATTATTGGAAATGAAACAAAGATAGAACAAGCACTGAATAATTATGAATATCATCAGTATGTGAGCAAGTTTCTTACAGTTTTCATGGAAAATATCACTAATGGTATAAATGCATCTGAAATATCCATGGAATTGAAATTAGGAGAGTTCATATCTGAAGAACAAAATGAACGCATTGATGCAGCATCAAAGAATCGAGGGAATATTGAAGGTGTAAAAATGTTGTTACAAATACTTGTAAGAAGTAATACTAAATGGCTAAAAAACTTCAAGCAAATTTTAGAAAAGAAAAACTACAGCAATGAGCTTAAACAAATTTTTCATGATTTGCCTGATGACCTGAAAGATTTCACATGTTCTATTGAGCCTGAGGATATGTCAATGGAGACAAAAGCTGCTCTTCTAAAGGAAAAAGCAAGCGATGAAGATGATAATTTTTCTTCTTCTCTAATACAAATGGATGAGCTTCATGGGAAGAATGTTTCAAATTTTGCCATTGCACCTGCTAGAATGCGGGAAGCACAATGCTGGCGAGTTAGTTCAACTTACCCACGAAATCAAACTTTTCAAAAAAGTTTTGGTCTCTCTGGTAGAAATCAACGTGTAAATAACACCCTTGTGTCTTCACCAACAAATGACATTATTCCGAAAAAAGCAGGCTTTAATTTTTCATCATTAAGAAGGCAAAGAAATCAACCTGTAAATGCCAGTCCTGTCAATTCACCTGCAAATAGCATCATTCCAAAAGAAGCAGGCTTCAATCCTTCGTTACTGAGAAAGCAAAGAAATCGATCTGTTAGTAGTAGTTCTGTGAAAAATTCACCTGCAAATAGCATCATTCCAAAAGAAGCAGGCATAAATGTTTCTTTAATGAGAAATCAAAAAGAGGTAACTGGCAAAGATGCTCTTCAGCCAGAACAAATAGGTTTGTCATCAAAACCAATCAATGGACAAAATGTCATTATTTATGGATCTGAAGTCGCCGACAG